TAGAACAAGATTCAGATCTTTTGTTCACAGGGTCATGAGGAGTTGTACTTGACTCAGGAGCACCGAACAACAACAACAACAACAAAATGAAATCGCTAATTTACAGAACCCCAGAGACACAGTGCATAGCATATAAAGATGCAAACCAAGAGGTCAGCAGTCCAGCAGCTGCTCCACAAGAGAAAGATTGGCGGTCTCTTTACGAAAAGATTTACAGCCTCAGGAACCTGAAGAAGGGTCACTATGAGTCAGAACTGTCTCAAGAGCAGTAGGCTTGGTGTAAGCCAAGATGAGGTAAGCCCACAATAGCCCTTCTCTTTTTTCTACACATTATAACTAAAAACTGTACATCAACTGGACAAAAACCAAAACAACCAAACTACTTGAAGACTTAAAAAAAGTAATCAAAACTAAGCAGCTCTGGGGTAGTAGTCACAGCTTGAAAATGATACTTACACAAGGGTGAGTCCCCAACCAACCTCTTTCCCCTACTTTTTCTCCCCAGCTTCTCACCAAGACCACCAGTGTAGCCATAGCACAGACAGCATACATCTGAGACAGAGCCTGACTTTCAGGCCAGACGAACTAAGAACAGTGGTCCCAGCAATCAATGAATGCAGTGGTTCTTCAAGAAAACAGGGTAGAAAATCTCCTGACCAGGCTCACTCCTCAGACAGGTAAGAGTGGTGGGTGCCGACCCACAGCAAGTCAGCAAAGGTTTTGAAAATGGAATTTCTAATTACTACTCATTTCCTAGGTCAACTCATAAGTGACACATGTCTAGAACAAGTCCAAGGCCGTATAGCAAATACTTTGAAAAAGGAACTGATCTCTGAGCTCCACCCACCAATAATGGGGGGGGAAAAAAACAACAAACCCACAACCATTTCTACCTTAACTATACAGATGCCTGATAAAGCAACAACAAAGTAATATCAACGCCTTCCAGATGATACTAACAGGACCCCAAATATCACAAGAAACTGGTAAACTAGAATGTTTCAACCAAAAAGAGAAGATCATCAACAGATGTCAACCCCAAGAGGATATATGTTGTTCTTTTTGCTGTGTGCTGTCTAGTGTGAACTGACTCACAGCTGACTCTCCAGTGGGTTATCACACAAGAGGAGACTGCCCATCTTTCTCCTGTGGAGTAGTTGGCAGATTTGAACCGTGTGACTTTGAGATGGCAAATGTCAGAATTAGCATGGAGACTTTAAAGCAGTTCTCATTGCTGTGTTCCATGAAGGAAAGGTAACTCTTCTTGAAATAAACGGAATAATCAACCACTAGTATGGTCTGTCTGAGATCATGATGTGCATATCTTATTATTACAGATGAGCAGAGAAATAGAAAACATATTTTAAAAGATAGATAAAGAAATGGGTAAAGAGTGTCTAAGTCCACTTATGTGAACACTCTAGGATATGCAAATATAGAAAGATCTAAGCTTACCAGAGGCTCACCAGGCAGGAAGGAGGGTGGGGTGAAAAGGAGTCACTGCTTGGGACACAGAGCTTCTGCTAGCATGACTGACAATCTAGGAAATGGATCATGATGATAGTTAAAGCAACAAAATGAACATGATTAATGTCACAGAATTGGACATATAAAAAAGACTGAAATGGCTAACACTGTGACATATGTTATCGTTGTTGTTGTTGTTGTTGTTGTTGTTAAGTGCCGTCAAATCATAGGTGACTCATAGCCACCCTATGAATTAAAGTCCTCAATACTTGTGTAACTTTCATCCTTTCTCCAGGTTCATAGGGTTTCCGGAGGCAAGCTATTTATGGAAGTGGATGCCACTCCTGCTTCCAAGCTTCCAAGTTTTAATCGTGGAGCTCCACCAAACACTGTCCACCATGGGTAACCATTAATGCATTTGACACATCAGAGTCACAGTGTTCAGCTTCACAGCAACCACAAGTTACCTCTGTGCGGCAAGTGGACACACCAGAGGTATACAACCTAGAAGAATGATTGACAAAAAATAATGAAAAACACGCCTGAGGGTCATGGATTAAAGTCACCCACCTTTGATTTGGTAGCATTGCTTTCTGTCCACTAGGTCAACTAACCTCTCTATATGCTGTGATGTATATAATTACCAAAATAAAAAAGGCAACATTAATAGCAGCTAAGATATAAGATGTAAGCTATATATTTAAACTATTCTGATTTTCTATTTTCTCAGCAGTCAATGAGAAAATATTCCAGTTAATAGAAGGCCACGAGGCGGTCAAAGTCCCTGGGTGGAAAAAACAAAGGAAAATACTCCTATAACCACAGATTTTTCAAAGGGGAAAAAGAGGGGGGAAGGAAAAAGACATAAGAGAAACTGGAAATTACCTCGTTACCCTGTGGACTAAGGAGGTTATAATAATATTTTTATGGATTGGGAAATCTAATTCACTTGACAGGACCAGAGGCTTAAGAAGTACTCCAAACAGACAGTAGGATACTCCGCCCTTTCAATAAAAAGCAAGAACAGCTCCATAAGATCAAAACCCTGCCGTGTCAGTCAGCCAGCCAGGGAGCAGATGAACAAGAAGACACTACCGCTCAAGTCAGTCATCTCTGGAGCAAAACTCTTCTTATTCTCAGGAAGTAAAAACTTCTTTTTGAGGCACACATCTAAGATTCTACCTACAATAGATTAACTTTTCCCCTTTGGAATATTAAGAAGTAAAAAGGTCACACACATATATGACAGACTTGTGTAAGAATTTTTAAAACATATAGCTACTGTAGGGTAAAGTGAAAAAATCACAGGCAATTTTTATTTTCAAAGTTATATAATTTTACACTAAATTTTCTAAACTCAATATATAATTCATTGTAAGGAAAGAAAAAAAGCTACTATATGTGAGCATGTCTTAAGGCACTGGGTTTTTAAATAATTGATGAGAGAGTTGGTGATGTGGGTACACTGCTGACTAAATTCATTCTCATCAAGTCAATGCGGACCCGCAGGACCTCATGTATGACAGAGGAGGATTAGTCTTCAAGATTTTCTTTGCTATAATTTCTATGGATTCCCAGGCCTCCACCACCCCCACTCTTTTATTGTAGCTGGGTAGGCTTGAACTGTCAACCTTTAAATGAGCTTGCTTACAAAAAACTCATTTTCATTGAGGGGAGCCTCCAGAGATTGTAAATAGCACAACATGAGATCCCATGGTTGTGAATAGCATGAGAAGAAATTGCACATCTTTTTTGCTACTAAGTCACTAGTGGATTTGATCTGTCTGCTTTTGGGTTGGTAGAGCAATTCTTTACCCACAAGGACACCAGAGCTGAGGGCAAAGTGCTACAATATTAGCAAAAATAAGTAAGGCACCACCACAAACACAAACAAACAGACAAACAAAAAACCCAACACTAAACCAACAACAAAGTAGGCTAAACAAGAAAAACACCAAATTCTAATTCAAAAGAGATAGCATGGGCAAATTACCTAACTGAAATACTATTTGCTTGGACTTAATCTCTCCAAGTCCCAATGATATTTTGCTCAGCATTCTCACAATGAGCCTGTATGGTGATACCAGAGTATTTCACAGAGGCAAGAATGGTGAAACTCGATCTTGCATACTTTGGTATCTCATCAAGAGGTCCTTGGGGAAAGACAGCATACTGTAAGAGGGAGAGGTTCAGAGAAAGAGAGGAAAACCTTCAACAAGATGGACTGACACAGTGACTGTAACAACGGGCTTGAGCGTAGCAGAGACTGAGGACAGCACAGGATGGGACAGGGTTCAGATCTGTTTATTACAGGGTCGGTATGAGGTGGAGTCAACTCCACAGCACCTAACAACAGCACTTGTCTTGTTCTGAATGTGCCCTCTTCACATTTAACTTTCATCTCCCTGCAGCAGGGACAATGCCTTAGTCTATATTGACGTGTTAGTAATGCTCTTTTCAGAGGGAAAATAATGAACTAAAATCACCTTGCAAAGCCTACTTCAAAAGTACAAATCATGAGATCTCATTGGTGGATACAAAATGATCCAATTCATATTACATTCAAGTAAAAAACTGTTAAAGCACGGTTTCTCTACCCTTGGTAGTGGTATTCTGCAGTCCAACCATAAGGTACTTAACGATGTATATAAATTATAATTACTCATAATTTTTTCACTCCCCTGAGGTATTTAAAAATGTGTTCAAATAAACATAATAACTGCCCTTCTATGACTTGAAAACAGACCTCCAAAACTGTAGGAGAAAGCATGAAATATATTTATTTCAAAGTTAAATTTGAAGCGAAAAATCACAAGACAACAGATTGCAAATGTAAAATTAGATTCTAGTGGGAGGTCTTGGTTTCAAGCCTGTTCTTTCTCTACTGGAGGCTGAGCTTGAAGATTTGGGGGTTGGAGGGAGAAGCTAAGATTAAACAGAGAAAAAGTTCCCAAAGTTTCTGCTGTATCTATACAAACCAATGGAAACCGTTTTGCTAAGTCACACACAAATACCCCTAACAAACGAGACTAAACAGGAAAGTTTTGCAACAAATAAAAGCTGATCTTTGATTCAGCAAAGATTATTTTGATTTTGTTTATTTTTTCTTTTTAAAGATTATCCAGGTCTCCTAAGATTATCCGAAGCAGAAACAAAAATGTATCATTGCTTTGAAGTTAGATTCTGAAGTCAGGTTAGACTTTTTCAAACAATCTAATATAAAGATGTTGAATCTAAGGGATGACTTTAAAAGACCCTGAGGGCAATTCTCAGGGGGAAAAGATTATTTCATATGTACCTACATTTTCTTTTTTTTTTTTTTTTCATTTTAACACTAAAGCTTTTGAATTGTTAAATGGGTGTAACCTTAATCCTAAGAAGTGATTCCAAATTCTTTTTCCCACGAACTCCGTCCATAGCTACAGTACAGCAATGTCAATTATAACAGGATATATTGTTCTTCACATTGAGAACTTTTTCACTGATTCATGGATATACAGACACAGATTCAAAATATAGAAAAATAAACCTACCTTAAAAGGCAACAGTGGTCCCCAGCCCAACTTGCCCCAAGAGCACTGTGGCATTTAGATACCGAGACTGGCAATGGTGGCAGGATGAACAGTGTCGGAGCTGGGGAGTCTGTCAGCACCTGCCCCTGGGGATCGCCATCATGGTCTCATCTGGGTCTGTGAGAAGGGGCCAAAATCTGGAGAGGAGAGAGTCAAAGAGGACAGAAAAGAGATGATATGATCAGCCAGTGTGTAACCAAGGGGCATTCCCACCAATTCTCCAGCATCAATCAACTTCATATAAAAGAAGTAAAATTCCCTCCAATTAGCTTTCACTCATGGAGTGCTCCTGTTTGTCAGAGGACAATTTTATTCCATACAGAGTTGTCAAGGAATGATTTGTTTCAAAAGTAGACCTTCTAAAGGTGCCTCTAGGTGGATCCAAACCTCCAACCTTTCTGTTAATTGGGTGTGCTTTAACTACGTGTATGACCCTAGGGTGATTCTCGTGAAATATCAGTCTGCAATTCAAACAATGCAACAGCTATCTATAAGAATAAAATTGCAGGCATCATGAGAAAAATATACATAAGCTTATTTGTGTTTATAGTCATAAATAGCTCTACAAATAAAGCTATTTTATTCACAGGATTTTTATCTTTATAGATCAAAGTGTGGGATAATAGGAATAGGTGCCTTCCACTGTACCCTCTACTCTTCCAAAGGTCTCAAAATTCAGAGGAAAAAGAAATGAAAGAAAACAAACAAGGAATCAGTTACTTTCAAAGTCTAAATAGAGTTATTTAAATGTCTGAGAAATTGCTGAAAAAAAGGAAATGGAAAGACCCAATGCAACATAGAGACCTACATGTGTATATGTTTTCTTAAACTAGCCAACATCACATTTACAAGTGACTCATGAAAACTATACATAGGACAGAGCTTGGGTAAAATTGAAATCATTATTGAATACAAAAAGTGGAATCACAAGGATAGCTCCAGGAGTAAGAAGTATTCCTGGTCCTTAAAAAATAAAAAGAGAATGAGAAATGCTGGCTTCTGAGTGGAGAATGCAAAGCTAAGGTTGAGGACGACCTGAAGAACCCCGTTGACCGGGGACCTCATTGCCGTCCTACTGGCTGTTTCTCTAGGAGCTGCCCACAGTACCACCCTTGCTGGTGGTTTCAGCAAGGTGCGGACCTGAAATGATGTTCTCATCAAGAACACAAAGAAAACTACCTATTTGGTGGAAGGGTCCCACATACAAGCAGTAAATAAATATTTACATCCCATACCAAACAAAGTCACCATTCTCCCTTCTCCTGGAAAGGGTGCTATTTAACTATGAAGTTTGTGACTAAAGCTCTTGGAGAAAGGCGAACACGCTCTCTCAGCAACACCCCATTATTACCCAACAATGCATGCCCTTTTCCATAATCCCTCCATTGCCAGCCAGTCCGCTTCCTTCTCCTAGGCATCCTCCTTCAACTGCTTTCTGCAAATTTTCAGATTTTCAAAGCAGTTCCTGAATTGCTTAGGAACTGGCAGAAATTAATAAGCAACAGCCCATTTATATTGAAATGGACTCATTACCATGCCAGCTGCCAATAATTTGCAAGGCCCGGCTCTCGTTGGCAAACTCAGCCTGCAGGCAACTGTCCTTCCACCTGCACCTCGGAGGCTGAGCGTGCATTTTCCACACTGGGGGGGAAAAATGTTCTTCCTACCAAAATGAAACATTTTCTCCATCATTTTCTAATTCCTGTGCCAAAAAAACAATACAGAGATGGGAGAGATAATTGTTAAGACTTCCTATGGAAAATAAAACAGTTTGGTATCATTTTTCTTTTCTTCCTTTTTTGATGGAAAAGAATGTAAATGTGACCTTGGCTATGTAATTGCTGGATGACATGGAGCAACTTTAAGAAGTTCGCATTTGTTCTCTGGCAACAATTAGACACATAAAGGTTGCAAAGTTCCAACAAAGATTCATTTTGCCTATAGTTGGTTACCTCCATGTGGACCTTGTGATTTTAGGTCAAGGCCACCTCGACAACTATTACTACTTGGGCTTTTCTTCAAAAGCTTTTGGTAGCTACCAAGGGCTAGGCTTCACATGAAAGCAGCTATGTACCTAGCTCAGTGTTAGAAATTCTACCCTAGAGTTATAGATACCAGGTTAAATCTTAACTACTAGCTAAATAATATCTATTTAATTACTATCTTCTGGTAGGGATGTCTCCAAAACAGTTAAGGGCAATGGCATCAGTTTGAAGACTAAGGTGTGCCCGGTTTGGGTCATGGCCTTTTCAATTACTTGCTATGCATCTGAGTGCTGGACAAGGAATAAGGATAATAGAAGAACTATTGATGCCTTTGAATTGTGGTGCAGGAGAAGAGCACTCTATGTCCTGTGTACCGGCAGAAGAACAAACAGATATGTCGTCGAGCAAGTGCAGCCAGAGCATTCCTTGGAGGCAAGGATGACAATGCTTTGTTTCTCTTACACTGTGCATGTTATTAGGAGAGCTTATTCCTTAGAAAGACATCATGCTTGGAAAGATAGAGGGTCAACACAAGAGAAGAAGATCCTCAATGAGATAGGTTGATACAGTGACTGCAACAATGGGCTCATGTATGTGAAAGATGCTGACGATGGCATAGGATATGACAGGGTTCAGGTCTGCTGTTCATAGGGTTACTGTCATCATACTAGACTCAATGGCATCTAACAACAAAGTGGGATGAATGGGAACTCTGGTGGCATAGTGGTAAGAAGCTGCGCTGTCAACTCAAAGGCAGGCGATTGAATCCATCAACTTCACCTGGAAAAAAAGATGAGCCATCTTCTCCTGAACGACTTACAGCCTCTGACAACCCACTGTTTGCTAGTCCAAAGGAGGCTCTGCTCTGTGGTTTAAATCCACCAGTGGCCCCAAGATAGAATGATGGGCAATCTCCTCGCCTGTGATTTACAGCCTCCCAAAAACCCTCTGACGGGTCTGCTATGAGTCAGTTCGACTCAACGGCCATAAGTTTGAGTTGTTTGTGTATGTTTTTAAAGTGAGATGATATAAGCAATTTATGACAAATTATCTAAACATCAGTCAGTTGTTCTGTACTGTTGAGCTGGAGCCAAATCATGCATGACCCTCCAGTGGGTTTTTAGAGGCAGTAAATTGTCCAGGAGGAGAATGCCTATCCTTCTCTGATTAAGGAGTTTATGGATTTAAACCATGTGTCTTTGAGTTGGCAGCACAACTCCTAACCACTTAGCCACCAGTGCTTGGTAAACATCTGTTTACCGAACAGCAAATGGGGATAAGAGTTCTATCTGATTGTTATGAGAATTAAATAAGATTATCTATGCTTCACAACAGAATCCCTGAGTGATACAGTTAACACACTCATCTGCTAAACTAAAAAGCTGGATGTTTGAATCCATTCAGAGGCATAGCAAAAAAAAAAAAAGGCTGGGTGATCAAGATTTTAAAAAGTCAGCCACTGGAAGTCCCATGGATACATACAGATCTACTCTGACACACAGAGCCGCCATGGATTGGAATCCAGTTAACAGCAACTGATTTTATGTTACACAATTAGTACAGTGCCCAGCCCACAGTCAGAACTCAATACATGTTAGCTATTACTGGATTATTAGTTAACATTTATGAACCATAACAAGTAGGTTTTATAAGAAGAGTCACTACATAGAGGCTTCCTTAATAACACCTTTCTTAATCTGCCTCTGCTCACTGAAATGGGTTCTACGTTATAAATTGAGTGGAAACTTGTCATCTTAAATTCACTGGGAAAACAACATAGTGAATTAATCCAGCTGGAAAATGGGCCCTATTCAAGTTAGCACAGCCTGTGTACCTACACTTCACGCTGAGGAAATCTAGCTAGACCAGTCAGCCTGCCCACAAGACAAGAGGTAACTCCAGAAAATGAAACACTAAAAACAACAACTTTTTCAGTCTCATCCTGATTCATTCTCAACTCATCTAGTCCATTTCTACAATAATCAGATTTCAGATAACCAGTTACCATGGGGGAAAGTGTCAACTGGAGGTTAGGAACGTATTCCCAGAGCCAATCTCAGACTTCAAATACCTAGAAAAAGAGAGTGGAGACAGCTACCACTCAACTGACAGAGTCTGATTTAAGATGAGAATATGACAAGTGTCAGAAAGTGTCCATAGCATTTAATCCATTAATGCATAGCCTTTCCTAAAGGGTTTTCGATTTACCTTCTAAATGACTTGTAAGGAGCAAACCATCTTTGTTATACCAAGAATTAAAGTGCAAAGGGTCCTGTGTTTGTCCTCACACTATCTAATTTGAGTACCAGGATTTACTACTTACTAAATCATGTGACTGGCAAACAAATTATCCATTCTGAGAATCACCAGGAAAAATGAGGATAACTGAAAAAGCACTTCCCGACTTATCCTATACTTGAAAGCGTCCACTTTTCCCTGGAGTTTCTTTTCTCTTCATATCTGATCATTAGTAACATGTACGACATACAAAGCTACAGCTGGCAAGTTGCTGATGTTATCATTCACAGATATTCACTCACAGATGTTCAATTTTATGATTTACTGTTTAGCACCACCATATAGATTTCATTTTCTAAAGTAAATCAGGGGCTTCAGTCACTTGAAAACAGGCCCAACCACTGAGCAGTTTGCTAACATTGACAGGCAGGATTCAACAGATAAGCAGTGAGCTGATACGGTGAAACATATATGAAGAAAAAAACCAAGGAATCATAGAGACAACATTCACTAATTTTCTAACGAGTAAAAATCATCCCCACTCTCAAAGATAATACAGAACCTTCCACAAGTGAAGTTATTACTGCAGATGACAAAATGAAAATATCATCCAACTCTTTCTTCTTCATCAGAATAAATTTGTGTGATTTGTATAATTGCTTATGTATGCAATATGGCTATAAATTTATCTATAATGCTCCCAATCCTCAAAAGATTGGATCTGTAAAAACATTGATAGTAAAAGACAACAATAATGGCAATTTTATGGAAAAACTGAGATATTTGACATCAGAACTAGCTTACAGTAAAACTGTTAAGAGCTAACCCCCATTACCAATTGATGACTACTTATAACAATGTTTGTCTTATGTAATAAGCACCTCCCTGAAGAAGTTCTCAGAAAACAGAAATC